GGCAAGAAAGTCCTTCGTCCCATTTGCCAAAGATTCAAAATTGAATCCTTGTGATTATTGTCTCTTTGGGAAGCATCATAGAGTGTCTTTCAGCAAAACCTCGAAGCTGAAAGAGAATGTGTTGGAGATGGTGTATTCGGATGTATGTGGACCCATGGAAGTGGAGAGTCTCGGTGGTAGCAGATATTTCGTGACATTTATTGATGATGCTTCACGAAAATTGTGGGTGTATTTCTTGAGAACGAAGGGCGAAGTTTTTTAGTACTTCAAAAGGTTTTATGCTATGGTGGAGAGACAGGTTGGTAAACCTTTGAAGTGTCTTCGCTCAGATAATGGAGGGGTGTATACTTCCCATGAATTCAAGAATTATTGTGCCGAGCATAGCATCAGGCATGAAAAGACTGTAACTGGAACCCCACAACATAATGGTGTGGCTGAAAGAATCAACAGAACCATTATGGAGAAAGTGAGGTGTATGTTAAGAATGGCTAAGCTACCTAAGCCATTCTGGGGTGAAGCTGTTCTAACGGCGTGCTACCTGATCAACCGATCTCCATCTGTTCCTTTGGGCTTTGATATCCCTGAGAGAGTATGGTCCGGACGTGATGTTAACTACTCTCATTTAAAGGTATTTGGATGCAAAGCTTTTGCTCACGTAAGCAAGGAACAGAGACGAAAACTTGATGATAAATCCATTTCTTGTATATTTCTGGGCTATGGAGATGAGGAATTTGGCTACAGGTTATGGGATCCAGAAAATCGAAAGATTATCAGAAGCAGAGATGTAGTGTTCCATGAGCAAGAAACTATGTCTGATTCTGCTTCACCAGAGATCAGAGAACCAAGTGTAAAGGTGGATCTTTCACCTGTCAAACCTCCTGGAGATGCCACAGCAGGGGGAGAGTGTGATAGAGAACTCAGAGTTGATGATGAGCCAGCAATAGAAGATGGTGATGGTGAAGGTGTCAAGGAGGAAGACCTCGAAGCTCCGCCTCAACTCAGGAGATCAAACCGAATGATCCAACCATCTACGAGATACTCTAGTACCACGTATATTACAATCACTAAAGAAGGGGAGCCAGAAAGCTTTGAAGAAGTACAAACTCATAAGGATAAATCCCAGTGGATGAAAGCTATGCAAGAAGAAATGGATTCACTAATGAAAAATGACACTTATGAGCTTGTGAAGCTTCCGGAAGGCAGAAAGGCCTTGAAAAAGAAATGGGTGTTCAAGCTTAAGAAAGATGGTGAAAAGATGTTGAAGTACAAGGCTCGCTTAGTCGTGAAAGGATTTGGACAAAAGCCATGAATAGATTTTGATGAGATATTCTCACCGGTTCTAAAGATGAGCTCTATTCGAGTAGTACTCGGATTGGTGGCTAGCTTGGATCTGGAGCTTGAACAACTAGATGTGAAGATTGCATTTCTTCATGGAGACCTAGATGAAGAAATCTACATGGAGCAACCAGAAGGATTTGAGAAGACTGGAAATGAGCACATGGTTTGCAGATTGAAGAAGAGCTTGTATGGACTAAAACAAGCCCCTACACAGTGGTATAAGAAGTTTGACTCGTTCATGGCGAGCCATGGATATATCAAGACTGATGCAGATCATTGTGTGTTCGTTAAGAAATTCCCAGATGATAAAATCATTATCCTTTTGTTATATGTAGATGATATGTTGATAGTGGGACATGATATGAAGCTGATTGGTGATTTGAAGAAGGATTTAGCAAAGTCCTTTGAAATGAATGATCTGGACCCTGTGAAACAAATTTTGGGCATGCAGATCAAGCGAGACCAAAAATCGAAAAGGTTATGGTTATCGCAAGAACGGTATGTAAATCGGATTATGGAGAGATTCAACATGAAATCGGTTAAACCGGTCAATACACCGTTGGCCAATCACTTCAAACTCAGTAAACGAAGTTGTCCTACGAGTCAAGAAGAAAAAGAAGTTATGGCGGGTGTTCCATACTTCTCGGCAGTCGGGAGTTTGATGTATGCCATGGTGTGTACTTGACCAGATATCGCTCATGCAGTTGGAATTGTTAGCAGGTATCTTTCCAATCATGGGAAAGATCATTGGGAAGCTGTGAAGTGGATCTTTAGATACCTAAAAGGCAGTGCAAATAAGTCCTTGAGCTTTGGCAAAGGAAACCCAATTCTTGAAGGTTATGCAGATGCGGATATGGCAGGTGACCTAGATAGTAAAAAATCTGAATTGCAGAAATTTGTTGCCTTGTCGACTACTGAAGCAGAGTATATTGCAATGACAGAAGCAGGAAAAGAGATGCTTTGGTTGAAGAGGTTTCTTCAACAATTGGGAATGAAGCAAGAAAGGTACGATATCCATTGCGATAGTCAGAGCGCATTGGATTTGAGTAAGATGCGATGTACCACTCTAGCACGAAGCACATTGATGTCAGATATCATTGGCTACGTCAAGTAGTGGAAGAACAATAGTTCAAGTTAGAAAAGATTCACACTGACGAAAATCCTGCTGACATGATGACGAAAGTTGTAACAGGAGGAAAACTTCAGCTTTGTGCCGAGTTGATCGGCATGGAATGCATGTGAAGATTGGCAGAATATTTCCTTGGGCTAGAGGGGGAGAATTGTCATGTCCTGCCAAACATCATTGGAAACAGGTTGTCAGATTCCAACCACTAAAGATGGAGTAGAAATATTTTATGCATTAGGTTGTCAATTTTAATAATGTGGAGAATCTTTTTCTTTCAGTATAAATAGCAACTCTGAATTGCTGAAGAAGTGCACCAAGAAGCAGAAAGAAAAAGAGAGAAGAAATAACATCTTTGAGTGTTATTGTTCAGTGGGATAAAAATAGAGTGTTTGAGTAAATCATGTGGGTGTTGGAAAAAATACACCGGGTTGGGTATCAACTCTATTACTCCTTGTTTAGGAGTGGGGTTTCACTGGGTCACTATATTTTACATTTCTAGTGTAACGGAGTGTGAAAAGATATTGTAATTATCTTGAAAATATAGTGGAATTGTTCGGAAGTTGTCCAGTGGTTTTTTCCTCTAATTGGAGGTTTTTCCACGTTAAATCTTGGTGTCTTATTTCTTGCATATTTTATTTATTTGGGATATTCTTAATATGCTCTGTGGTCGCAGTTTAATCTGATCTTCCACATTAGAAAAGAATTAATCCTGTTTTATTGCAAGAGATTCTCTTTTGTCATTCTTGAGTTGCTGGGATTGGAATTATTGTTTACTATTTTACCTTGATATTTTAATTTACATTTTCCGCATTTGCGCATCTGAGCCCAACAAGGTTTGTGATTGTATCAGACTTAAGCCAACTTTGAAGGCAAATCAGTACTACCACTGATCTAGAAGTTACTATAACAAGTATGTTAGGATAAATATAATACAAAATACAGCATTTCTGGTGAATATAATGAATAAAAAATTAAATTAAAGATATCTAATATCATGTTTGTCATTTCCATCAACTAAGAAAACCGAAATTTTGAGGTCGTGATGAAGCATACCACAACCTTTATAGGGTGGGCATAGGGTGAGCATCGGTGCGGTTCGATCAAAAACGACACTGCACCGAATAAAACCGAAAACCAAATTTTGAAAATTTTTTCACCGAACCGTACTGCTATAGAAGGAAACTGAAACCGAAATTAAAAATTATAACCACCAATTAATGTTATGTAAGTAAAATTATAAAAATTACGGTGATATTTTACTAAAAAAATAAAAAAAAAGTGACATTTTATGACATTCGGTGCGATTCGGTTAAAACTGCACCCTTCAGACAGAAAACCGAATCGCACCGAAATACTTGCGGTTTTTCAAAATCCAAACTTAACCGAACTTACTAAAAACCACACCGAACCGCACCGAACACCCCTAGGTGGGCCTCCGCCCCTAGATAAAACCATATAAGCTACAATCATTATATTTAAATTTAAAATTTACTTGAGCCCCAATTTTTTCCCCAAAAAAAGCTCATATTATTCTTATGTTAAATAGTGAATATTAAAAAATTCTACTACTAAATACACCAGGCAATAGTGGTATTATTCGAGCCGAGTTGAGTTGGGTAGCTCATATTCAGCTCATACTCGTTTAATACAGACTAAAAATTATTTAAGCTTTTAAAAGCTCGACATATCTCAACTTTTTTAATAAATGTAAACTTTAGACCAAACTATTCACATGAAATGTAAAAAAAAAGGGATAAAAATAGGTTGCTTTCGAACAAACTTAGCTTGACATGTATAAAACGGGCTCGATTAATTGTACGAGCTTGATCATTTTATAACCGAATGAATGCAAAAACTTTCAGAGTTTTATGAATATAGCTGTTCATATTGCTCTACCACACAGCAATAGTAGACATGGCTAGTCAACGGGCCTCCCATGGGTGACCCTAACCGGCCTGCCAAAAACTAAGGATTAGCCCGTCGAACAGGCCCTGTCCCGGCCCGTCGAACCAGTCCTGACCGGCCCAATCCCAGCCCGGTCCCGAACTGCTGGGACATAAAAAAAAGGGACCCGAAAACAATCTGTAAAGCCACGGTGTCGGTTCTCGCAACCTACAAGCTGGTTGCGGACCGGGCTGAGCCGGGCTAGGACCGGGACGACGGGCCGGCCATGAGTGATGGACATATATATAAAATCATGCAAATATATGCCTATAATTTTTAGTCCGTAAGAAAAAAATACGCGTGGCACAACGATGTTAAATTTGACAGCTGATCTTGACACTCACGATAATGGGCATCAACCTCAACAAAATACATAAACAAATGATTGAGAAAAAATTTTTTAAAAAAGAAAAACACGCAATTTTTCCTCTTCTTCTTTTGCAAAATTAAATATTCCCCTGTTATTTTCAGAAAATATTCTTTCCGAGTTGTAGCTCAGAGGACTTCGTTTTATTAATATATAGTCACTGCCGAGCACAGATTCTCTCCTATATGCTCGACTGCTCTCCAACCTCAACGGCTCATACAAATTATGGAATGTTTGTATTAACTCTCTCTCTCTCTCTCTCTCTCTCTCTCTCTCTCT